AAAACCAAAGATGTTAGGACATACTTACCAATTCTATTTTCCTTCCTCTTTAAGCAATCCGTCTTATCAAGGTGTCCTGTGAGTTCAGCCCCAACATTTATAGAAAAGTCCAGATTAAGCCCAAGGCATTTCTGTATATCTTTTAGTTCAATATCTGTATAATATATTTATTTGAAATGTGTTAGAAAAGTTCTGTTACTAACATATTCAAGTAAATCAAAATTTTGTTCTTTTACAAGATACATATTTAGAATTTAAGACATTCTTATTGAACTCAAATGCAAGGTCATGTCTACCCTTCCTGTTTCTTTTACTAGAATCTAGTGGCTTCACTTTAATTTTATTTGTCAACTTAATAAATGGCAAAGAAATATTACATTTTCCACTCAGAAGGAATAGAGGTTTTAATGAAGCCCCCTACTTTCTTTTAAAAAAAACTCATTTTATTGGGGGCTCGTACAACTCTTATCACAATCCTTCCATCCATCCATTGTGTCAAGCACATTGTACATTTGTTGCCATCATCATTCTCAAAACATTTGCTTTCTACTTGAGCCCTTCGTATCAGCTCATTTTTTCCCTCCCTTCCTGCCTTCCCTTCTCACAAACTCTTGATAATTTATAATTTTTTTCATGTCTTACACTGTCTGACAGCTCCTTTCACCCACTTTTCCGTTGTCCATCCCCCCAGGAGGGGGTATATGTAGATCCTTGTAATCAGTTCCCCCTTTCTACCCCACCTTCTATTCACCCTCCCAGTATCGCCACTCACACCACTGGTCCTGAAGGGATCATCTGTTCTGGATTCCCTGTGTTTCCAGTCCCTGTCTGTACCAGTGTACATCCTCTGGTCTAGCCGGATTTGTAAGGTAGAATTGCCCCCTACTTTCTAATATTATCATAATTATATATATTTAAAGGTTTGTGAAAATAGACTTAAAAGATAATGGATTTCTCCATAGACATTTTGAAGTCTCTTGTGTGGGTATGAGACCACACAAAACAACAACCCAGTTTCCATCAAACTGGCTCTTATTCATGGTGACCCCATAGGTGCAAAGATCAGAACCGCACAGTGTGTCAGAGCTGTGACCTTGGGGGAGCAGGTCACCAGCCTTTTCTTCCAAGGTGCCTCTGGGTGTGCTTTCAGCATTTAACTGCAACACTCAGGAACTCCACAGGTAAGAAAGGAAGGTAGAATTTTTATTGAACGCTGATTACATGCCCATCATTTTGCTAAATATTTTGTAAATGTTAGGACATTCTTTGTTCTAAACATTTTGTATATATTCATTAATTTCATGCCCACATTAACTAGAGATACAATTGTTCTCTTCATTTGACAGAAGAAGACACAGAATCCCAGCATGGTTAAGTAACATGCTGATGGCACTCGGCTAGTAATGAGCCAAGTTGGGATTTGAATTCATCATTTGGTCACGGGGCATACCAACATCTCCTGTTCTTAGGAAGACTCAGTTCACCATTAAGGTATCTTTGGGAACATGTCAGATACATGGTAGCCTTGCTTTTGTCTTGTAAATGTTGCTCAGGAGACATCACTGTTAGAAATGGACACACTGTGGTGTGCAGATGCCTTAAACAGTTATTAAGGAAAACAAGTCTAACATTTCTTAAAAATTTATACTTTAGGGGTAAACAGCCAAATCAATGTTCAGCTTAATCATGCATGTCAATTTTTGATCTTATATTTCATTTCAGTACACACACACACACACACACACTGGGTTGTTTGTTTCAGACAGATTCCCAGTGAGACTTAGAAGAGATCTGAAATCATTTTGGCAATTATTCATTCAACAAATATTTCTTATGTATCCACAAGTAGCGAGACCTTGAGACTTATCAGATGGGATAAAGAGGGTGCTGTCTACTCCTGCAAAGATTTAAAGTCTTGGAAGCCTAAGGGAGCAGTTCTACTTTATTCTACAGGGTCGCTACGAGTTAGAATGAGAACAGTGGGTTTGGTTTTGAGTTTCCCATCCCTAAGAAATGTACTCAAATCTTCAAGAGTAGAGTGGGGCAAAAGGCTGGTATCCATTATCTAAGCAAAGACTAATTATAAGTAGCAGGCTTTGCTCACAAAATACACGATTAAAATTTACTAATGTCACACTACCTACAGTTTAATCTTAAGGGGGTTAAATGCAGTCCTCAGTTGAAGATGGTAAGTCTGTTCATGCAGACTAATGCTAAATCCATGGCAGACATTGCTGAGCAACCACAAGCCTTTTACCTGTGATTTTACATGTGCTCAGGAATCTCCTCAACAGGGACTCAGTGCAACCTCAGTTAATGGATCAGAATCAGGACGTGAGGTAGTACTAATTTCCCACTCTTGTTTGAGAAGGCCAGGCTCATTGCTTTGCACACCTTACCACCAAAGGAAGAATGTTTTCTTTCCAACACTGAAGAAAATTTGGGAAATTAAGATAATTGACCAATAAGTAATTGAACCAGTCTACTGATTAAGAGATATGCAAATAAATCTCTTGTATCTTCCTTCTTTTTAAAATAGCATTTCACTTAATGTAGAATCACCATATAACAGAAACTGAATCGCTATATGATTGAGGGGGTTTCTCAGCAATATGGCTGTGTAGTGTGTAATCTAGTCAGTTTGTTCATGATAGAAAAATAATTTTGATATTGAGTAGAATTTTAGGGGCCTGAGAATAGGAAGAGTTCTTTTCTCAGATGAGTACACAAGATAACTCTTTATTATAAAGCCTTTAACCACCGAAGGAGTTTAAACTAAATCCACTGCTATCAAGTTGATTACAACTCATAGTGTTTCTATTTAGAGTTCTGAGACTATAAATTTCTATGGAAGCAGACAGCTTCTTCCTTTTCCAGTGTGGCAGCTGGTCAGGTTTGAACTGCTGACTTTGTGGTGAGCAGCCCAACACCTAACTCATAGAGCCCTAGGTAAAAGAATACTGTTTAGTCCAAATAGTCTTCTCCCTCACCCACCCCCATCCACCCCAAGCCCAGCATACCGTTCTCCTTCATGGACGCTTTATCCAAAACATATACTAATTCATAAAGTCCCCCTAAAGACCCAGAGCTACTGTAGTGCGTTCCATAGGTTTCCAAAAATGCGAAATATTCCCCCTTTTCATAGCTAGTTGGCAGAGCTTTTACGTCATCCAAGAAAGTTGTTGATAGCATGACATCCCGATTTCTCATCAAAAATCTTCCTATATGAACTGTTCCTTTCACATGCAGGAACATTTTCTCCTTTGTTGTAGAACGGGAAGAAAGAGAAATAGGAGTTTATAGTTAGTCCTTCACATTTTTAGAAAAACACAAAATTTAGACTTTCTACAGATGCTCCATTTTTTAGCATTGGCCAGAAGATACTACAACCACCCATGACTGGCTAAAATACAAATACTGTCAGTACCAAGGGTTGCCAAGGATTTAATGTTGCCAAGATAATGTTCCTATCTTGCCAGTAGGAGCGTCAAGTGAGAGAACCGTCTTGAAGAACCGTGAGGCAGGCTTGTATAAAGTGCAGTGCACATCTGCTCTCTATCCCGCAATTCCCCTTCTATGTATTTGTACAAGATCAAGGTCAATAAAATACTGTGTACAAAGCGATCTGTTCACGAATGTCCAAGAAGCTATTTAAAGGACTCATTTAGTCAGGAGTGTTTAAAACTGGAATTGAATAAAATCCCTACATCTAGTTTCAATGCTAAAAACAAGCACATTTTTAAGCTATGATAAAATAATAATTTATAAATTATCAGGGGTTCATGAGGGAGGGG